ACAGTCGCTTCTTTTTTTTTTGAGATTACTGCACCAAAAAAGAGGAACACTTTAAAATATTTTCTCAATGAAAGTAAAAACCTGCTGCTGCATTTTCGTTTGTCGCATTAATGATGAATACTTTCTTCTTTGAGTGTGCTGTAAAACAGCAATTTCGAGGCATAACACAGTCACAAGTATGAACGCAACGTCAACGTACCTTCGGTCATCTTCATGTCACCAACGAGATCCTGAGCTGTCGGTGTATTGTTTGCGTTCGATTGTCGCATTTGCTGTTCTTTTTGAAGGGCCGCTTGGTGATGTGCTAAGTACGACTGCTGACTTTGCGCGTATGCTGCCGCTTGTGCGGCCGCTTCGGCTGAAGGATACCACGAATCGATTAAACACAACGAGACTTGAAACCGCAAGAATACTTTCATATCAAATTGACTCCCGCTCAAGCCAAACAAATTTAAATTACTCAACGAACGACGATTCAACTTCGAACGAAAATTCTCCTCACAGTCCGGACAAGAAAAAGATGCGCGAATGAAACCATTCTTCTGCAGTCAACTTATCGCGAAACAGTTTGAAATAATTCATACAGAGTGAAGGGTTTGCCATAATAATGAAGGAGTGAATAGGCGCGTGAGAATGCTTCATGAAATATACTAATCACATCACCAATATCGTTATTTTGGAAGACAAGCGACAGTCGATTGCTCTTAAGAGATGATATAACTCGAATTGTTTTCATCTGTTTGAAGATTGTATTCAATGCTTGAAGCAGTGGATAACGAACTGAAGTTCGGCCGAAGTGGTTTTTGAGTCACGAAAGAGGAGAATGTGAATTTGTTCGAAACATACGGCATTCAAGAGAAAGCAACCCACCGTCTAGTTTCTTTTTCTGTTCTTCCTCAGCCTCCCGTTCTTTTTTGCGCTTTGCCTCTGCTTGAGCCGCGGCCGTTGCTTGAGCTTTAGCCTTAGCGGCAGCAGCCTGAAGCCGAAGCAAATATGAGATCGGGACTGTGAATTTACATACGGTTCTCAACATAAATAGAATGTGTTGAAGATAAAAACATTCACCGGGGATGGTGCGCTTCCGAGACATACAAACTGAATGTATTTGACAATTTTTCTATGGCAACACAAACGGAAAACTAACTCACAATCGCAAAAGTAAAAATTTGTTTAGCTCAAAAAATGGCGTTATTATAGGCAGAAACGAGCAACAAACTTGAGCTTCTTGGGCTTCAGTTTCGGCTTTGGCCCTGATCATTTCACGGCGTTTATCCACATCCTTCTCCCATGCTTCAAACTGTTCAACATAGGCAGTGTATGCTTCCGTACCGACTGAGTTTCTAAACTTTATTCAAATCAGAAGCAACTGCAAACGATCACATGTAAACAGATTCGAAGAAACTGACCAAACGATATAAGCGAACAACGAATGCTGCTAACCGATTTTTTTCTTTCCATTGCTCAAACTGTGCTTTGTAGTCACGATACTGTTTTTCGAGTTCTTCTTCTGGCGATAACTGAAACACTGCAAGATGAGAACTCCTTCTACTATCTGCCTCGTAAACATTTGTGTTCCACAAAAAACCATTCCAATTTTTTGAACGCTGAAAATTTTCCAAACATTGAAAAATTCATGCAGAAAACAAGTGGAGACAAGTTACGGCGGAACAGCAAATACGAAATGAAGGATTTGAACAACGGAAATAAATTGAATATGCAAAAAAAATAATACTCGTTTCGACATCTTCGTTCAAGAAAGCAGACGACGTCCTCAGCGAAAACGATCTCGGGCAGATTGTAGTTGCGACAGAGTGGACTCTTGATGGAAAGACGGAACTGATCTAGCTCAATCTGCGTTAATAAATTAGCAATCCAATTAGTAAGGCGGAAACACGAAAATGATTTGTACAATCGGCGTCGTCGCACTTCGCCATACAAACGCGTCTGAGCGCAGGGGCGGAGTCAGCGAAGAGCATGCGCAATCATAGGTCAACGTGTGACTGCGCGCCTCAATGAGCAAAATTTATACCGACGGTATATCAGAAAAGGACCGCTTTGAGGGGTGATTCATTGCATTTTGACTGGAGAAATTGTGACCATTTTGTAGAAAATAAAATTTTCTATCATATAAACGTTTTTGTTTTTCAAAAACTATCCGTTATAAAAAAACTTGAGCGGTCTGAAAGTATAAAATATTGAGAAAAAGCGAAAGTCACATTTAAGTAGTACCCAATTTCAGGTTGAAGGAAGGAGATT